TTTTTACAATCCTTATGTTAACTTATAATAATTTGCAAAAAAGAGATTTAATATGTAGTTCCTTACTAATTTTTATATTCATTTTTATTTACACGGAAGGAAATTTATTTACGCAGTCTTTTCTACTAATTTTTGTGTTAGTTTCTAATTGTATGTTTGTCAATGCAGATTGCGAGAGAGGATTAAAGCAAGAGAGAAACGTGCATTTGCACGTGCAAATAACTTAAGCCTAGGTCCATCCAGAAAGTTCTTAAAGAAAAGCACCATGGCTGAGAGTGCTTGTACGCTCACAGTAACCATCGACTTGTCATTCGATGAATTAATGATCGATAAGGATATCGCTAAGCTAACGAAACAAATACTAAGGTGCTATACTTTGAATAGAAGAGCTATGGCACCTATGCAATTTTCCCTCACTAGTTTTACTGGCAAATCACGAATCAGTATGGAGAAGCACAATGGATATAAGCATTGGGATGTACGTGATTGCATATAAGTCAACACTTCCTCTCACTTTTAGTGAAATTAAAATTCACATTATAAACCGTTTTTATATCTATCCAATAAAGGAAGATGTTAAAAAAGGACTAATTGTTTTTAAAAAGATGTAAAAGCAGAAAAAACGAAGGATTTCTTATTAGATTTTGTTTTCCTAGATACAATAAAATTATTAAAAAGTTTGCATTTAGGGAACATTAAAATTTGATAAATACATCATGTTTGTATAAACTTGTTAATCATTGGACAACAACTGATTTTTTTTTAACATCCTTCTATCAAATTATAAAATTGGCTATTAAATTTTGGATTACACTGAATTAAATTACATTGGATTACTATTCATTAAAAAACCTCGCACATTTTATGATAAAGTTTATTATAAAATGTAAACTTTTTTCATTTTAAACATGGAGAATCCTTTTTTAAATTATTAAATTAACTATTAAATTTCATTAAATTACAGGTGAGTTTTCATACGGAGTCGTACATAAACGTTTATCCCAAAGATAAGATCATATATCTCACGAGCGAATCAAATAACGTGATAGATCATCTAGAACATGATTGCGTGTACGTTATAGGTGGTCTCGTTGATCACAATGCACATAAGGTGAGATTTTTTTGGCTAGTCGTCCCTTTTTACGAATTTCTATCAAAAGTTTAAATTGTAGGGCATGTGTCATAAATTAGCGAGAGAGGCGGACGTCAGACACGGTCGATTGCCATTAGATAAATTCCTACAGATGAAAGCAAGAAAAGTGTTGACTATTGATCACGGTAAGCATTATGAGAGATAAATTTTCTAAAGCTATTATATTATTATCGTTTTCTGTGAGCATCTCTAATCTTATTTTGATAATTAATGAGAAAAATTAAGAATTTAAACATACATTCTATTCTATTAATCAAATTTTAACAATAAGTGAGTCATGTCATTGAAGTTTACATTTTCAAGAAATGATTGAACTTTTCCAGTTTTTGAAATACTATTGAGAGTCTCGGAGGGTGATACCTGGCAAAAAGCATTTTTAAAGGTGTTACCGGAGAGGAAGAATGCTCGTCCGATCATTTCTGTGCAATCCAAAGGAGACGAATCACAAGATTCGAAACTTGTTGATGTAAATAATGCCGTCTTGGCTGATATAGGTAATACAGTACCAGTTGATTCAAAAGCTGTCGATGTAAATAACACAATGCCGGTTGATGTAAATAATGCAGTGTCGATTACTGTAAATAATACATTGACGGTTATAAAAGATATTAAAGAGAGAGATATCAAATCTGAGTGCAAAGTAGATTCGAAAGATATCTTAAATGAAAGTTCCTGCATAACGTAGAATCGCGAATGTGTGATTAATTAAAAGATGCAAGTAAAATATTCAAAAAGAATTCGCGACGTGCAAAAGGGAAAATAAAAAAATTTTAAATATAAAAAATATGTACACAATATTTATGCGTACAAGAAATCAAAGTATAAAAGATTTAATCAAATCAGTTTTACGTAAATATAATGTTAATAACATTTTAAAAAATTTTATTTCATTTTGACGTTAGTCCTTTTTGCTATTTCGCGAATACTGCAGAAATCAGAGAGAATCTATTTTATTATTTTTAAGGCCGTGTACATAATAACAACAGCATATTTTTGTATCATCTGTCGTGTATTTTCAAATATATGAGATGCGTAGACAAGAGAAAGACGGTAAACATCAATTATAAACGGGCTACAAAAACGCGTCAGACTCGACAAACACTTCGTCGATGCTTCACGCGCATTTGTTTTTTTTTTTACACATCTCACAGACACATGTTACAATATAATACATTCTTACATCTAAAATGTTTGTTTGCGCTACCGGAGTGCAGCTTTTTATTGATCGTATTTAGATACCTTTCACATCCTTACTGTCATACAACGCCATTGCAATTGCTTAATTGTAGCAATTAGGTCAAACTGACTCTTCAGATTAAAACGTTTGTACACAGGTGCATATTTATTACATTGCAAATGTACATACGCCTAT